TATATATATATATATATATATATATATATATATAAAAAGGGACAAAAAATATTTTTATGTTTAACGTCTTTATAGATAATTAAACATAAAAAATGAATAAATGTCGGACTTGTCCATTTCTTTTTGATGTTTAATTTGATACGCCAGAGTTATAGATGTACAGATTCATGGAAGATTGAAGTTTAAAAAAAAAAAAGAACGTTAAACATAAAAAATGTCTTTAATAAATAAATTGTTTCATTAAATAATATAACAAGTTTGTCTATTTTTTTATGTATATATATATATATATATATATATATTGATATATTTTTAATTCAATCTAATTTTTTTCGAAATAAGCCATTATCAAAGATGAAAAATTACACTCACAATATATTATGCATTACAAGGACAAGAAAGATGATAGTCTGTTTCTGTTTATTGATTTTCATAAACACGAAAGATATTTTTATGTTTTCAACGTTTTTACGGTTTTCAACCATTTGATAATTATTTAGAGCTGAAAATATTTGGCTACAAAATTTAAAAAAAAAAAGAACAGTTAAACATAAAATGTCTTTCATAAATAAATTGGTCAAGCACCTGACTTTGTCCAAAATGGAAGTTTGTTATCAAATGGTATGACGTCATTTGTTTACATTTGATACGCCATGAAGACAAACCATTAGTTAAAACACAGGCAATGTACGAGATTCATGGAAGAAGTTTATAAGTCTGAGTAAATTAGCGACCTTGCCAACCCACGAACGTTAAAATTTTTATTTTTTTAAAATGTCTTTAATAAATATATTCATACATGTTTCATTAAATAATATAGACAAGTGTTGTCTATTTATTTTATGTAAATACTTTTCATAACGTCTGATACGCTTAATAACATTATCATTAAACGAAGAAAGAAAATCACAATATTGATACATATATTTTAATTCAATCTAAGTTTTCGCCGTACATAAGCCATTATCAAAGATGAAAGATTACAGTACAATATATTATGCATTACAAGGACAAGAAAGTGATGATAGTCTGTTTCTGTTTACATGGATGATTTCCAAGCAACGATAAACACGTGCATATAAGACGCTGCAAGAACATGTATGAATGAAAAAATGCTGCCTAAATACACACAAATATATATATATAGCCCCTCCATAATGAGAGGTACTGTTTGGGAGAGACGACTACTTGGACGAGGTTACGAGAGCACATTATATTACCTTCGGCATTAATAGAACAATAGTCGGTTTTGTCAAATGAAAAAACGTTTTCTCTTACATGTATGTACTCTGTAGAATGAAGTTTCTTTGTTTTAACCAGTAACATTGAAGAAATAACTCCCTGTATTTATCGTGACATTATCATCAAATTTGAAGGGTCCTATAATTTGAATCCCTCCAACACTAAACTAAAACATTCACACCATCCATTTTCCATGGTGATGTCTATTTTTTCACTAGGAAATTGGGCTGTCAATTTTATCTACTATAACTCTATATTTATAACTAAAACGTATTGACAAAGAAATTAGATTTCAAATCTTCCCCCAACATGCGCATGTCGCTTTCTTTGCATAAAGGTGATAGTACGCTTACTTTCATGTCTTTAGCTAGTGTTCTTTGTATTCTGTATCTGAACCTTCTGTTTGCTTTCACAAAGCCAACTTCTTCAAATATTTATATTCATTTCTTACTGTTTCGATTATTTCTCAAACCTCTTTTTATGACAATGTAAAGCCAGTTTTTATTCTTGTTCTTAGCTTACCAAAGTTCTCAGATTTTTCTTTTCGATTCTTCCTTTATCTTCTATAGGCATTCTGCTTCTTTTGCAACTGTTAACATTGTGTTCCCATTGCACAGTAACTCGATAATTTTATTTTATCTTGTTTCTCTTTAGAGATTATATCTTTCTTACGGCCCACAGCAATCTGTATGCATCTGGAAATAAATAAAAACAAAATAAATGCTGTAACTGCATAGGTGGTAGAGAGCTTCTATCTTCAATTGACAATCAACATCTGAAAATAATAGTCGAAAGAAAACCCGCATCAAAGCATCAAAGAACAATGATGAGTGTCAGCATTTCTACATTATCGGACCATCTCAAGAAAATTGGCAAGATAAAGAAGTTTGATAAATGGGTTCTGTATGAGCTCGGTGAAAATGAAAGAGTTCGGCATTTTGAAGGGCTGCATCTGAGAAATTCAAATGATCAATTTCTTGATCAAATTGTGATTTATGCTGAGAAATGGAGCCCTTATGACAATCGTAAGCGATCGGCTCAATGGTTTCATCAGGACGAATGACCCATTTTAAAAACCGAAATTGCACCATGTTGTAGCATACATACAGACGATAATTCATATAAATACAATAGTAAATACTGTATGTTGGTCTAGAGTTGGAGATTCATCTCCAGCTGTGCTGGTCAAACTCTCTGCTACCGTGAGGATACCGAAGGGCAAAGTCTCGTCTCGGGAAACAGCTACCCGATCCCGTTTTATACGGGATCTACAGGGAATTTAGGCCTACGGGCTCGGACAAGCCACATTAAATTTGGCCTTGTGCCACATCTGACCGAGTGGGACGTTTGGTAGATATCCTAGAGTTGGCGATGCATTGTGGAATTCACTTGACTGAATTCTTGCAGTTGACTACTTCTACGCGCCGCTGGCGAATCTTATGTGCTGTTCTTGTCCTAAGTATTATTGTTCATACCAACCTTCGTTTACTATTCAGTATCCTTAGGTTACAACACCAGTAGAAGATTATGGAGATCGTCTGGTGGTTCTCAGTTGAGGTTTTCCATTATAGTTTTCTGGAATCTAACCAGAGAATAACCACCGGAATTTACCGCCAAGAACTGCATCAAATGCGATCGGTCTTGGTTAATGGACGAGGTTCGATTCTACTTTATGGCAATGCTCAGTCAGATATTCATAAAATTTAGGTACGAGACTTTGCCACATACACCTATAGTAACCTGCTCTCTCGCCAACTGACCATCACTTTTTCAAGCAGCTCACAATGTTTTGAGCTAATCCCGTTGCAAAAAGATGCAGAAACTGCATATCAGAGATTTATTGGCTTCCAAACCATTAGAAGTTCACCGTAGAATCTTAAATAATATTATGATTCAATGTCAGCAATGTATAACTGTTCAAGATTACTATTTTGATTTAAATACTGCTTAAATACATTAATTCAGAAATAAAAGTTGATATTAAAATCGGATATTCTTTTCCGAACGACCTAATATATTTCCTTTCGAGGATATTAGCCGGTAGATGTTAATTTCATTGTTTACAAATAAACAGGAATTGATGGTTTAATAAACTTAGTTTGCCCAATGGCACAAGTATGGTGTATCTAGTGAGGATCGAACTAATTACTTTGTAGTTACGTCAACCAGACTAGCTAACTAACCGTTTTATCCCAGGCCGAGTCGTCCCAGTCGCTATCTTTAGTGATCTATATTTAAATTTGTTACTTGATTTCCACAAATTCAATGCATAATTGAATTGAATAGTTTTTGATTTCTAATTTGTTATTCTGATCTTGAATTCTTTTAATGAAACGACAATTACGTTGATAGAGCTAATAGTCAAAACAAAAACCATCTCATGAGACCGAATGTGTAGACAATCGAATAGTTGCTTAATGGACTCGGTCTGTCTCGACAAATTCATGATTATTATTAAATAATCTTCTTTTAAATCTCAGGTTTACATGTACAAGATGATTGTCTACAATACTTAAAGTATTGAGCTTTTATGTGATTATTTATAAATCGTTGTAGAGTATCTAAAACGTTAGCTATCCGATTTTAAAATTATTACTGGGATTTACATCGACCTTTTTACATTTATTTTTTTCTTTTATAATGATGTAAGACTAGTAATAAATCAGTATCAATAATAGTAAAAATACGTAATATAAGGCCCAAGAAACACTTAAACGTCACCTTCCTTGAAACATTTGAACCTGTTTTGTGCCACAAGTTCCTTGACAGTTTCTAGGTTTTCTATATTAATTCCTGTTGCGAGTGTCCTTTGCATTTAGTCGGGTTTCGTTTTATTCACAGGGAGCATAAAATGGCTATAATTGTAATAGTTTCACTATTTATTTTGAAAGCTGTAAAATAAAGAATAAACAATTAATGGTTACATGTTATATGGAAATAAAGAATCAACACTTTTGCAACTTTTGGACAACTAGTTATTTCAAAATAATGATATAGTATGGAGATTGAAGTAACGTCTAGCGACCCGGACTGAGGAATCAAAGAGCAGACTTCGAGCAGCATTCGAGTTCATTACATTCACTTACGTATTAATATCAACGTATGAATTCATGTCTTTCTCCCAGCTATGGATAAATAGCATAATATACCGGGGCCTATAGCCTTGTTTGGCAACCATTATACAGGGCCCTATAGCTTTGTTTGGCAACCATTATACAGGACCCTATAGCCTTGTTTGGCAACCAATATATAGGGCCCTATAACCTTGTTTGGCAACCAATATATAGGGCCCTATAACTTTGTTTGGCAACCAATATACAGGGCCCTATAACTTTGTTTGGCAACCAATATACAGGGACCTATAGCCCTGTTTGGCAACCAATATACAGGGACCTATAACTTTGTTTGGCAACCAATATACAAGACCCTAGAGCCTTGTTTGGCAAGCAAACTCTGAATTCAAACCAGCCTGGAGATGGTTAGGCTCCTTTAAACTGTCTTGTCCACTGCTCTTGTAGCTGCAGTAGATGTAGTATCCCTACGACCCTAAGGGGTGAAGGGAATAGGAATCGTGGTAATTTGCCAAAAATCACCAGTGAACCTTCTGAAAAACCTTATCAGTGAAACCGATAGAGGGTTAATAAATGAGATTATTATAAAAGAGAGAGAAAGAGGATGTAAGAAGTATGTGTTATGAGAATGTTATTAGAGAGATTAATTAAAGATTACAGTTGTCCAGGAAGCAACTTCTTGGGATATTAAAAGAAAATAACCTGAGACTTGTACTGGGGGAAAAAACAATAATAAAAAGGTTTAATAGTATAAGAAGAATAGTGAAACTGCTTCAGCCACCGCCCCACGACGCCAAAGAAAACCCAACAAAGAAAGCTACTTAATTTAATGAAAGTTTTTAATAATATGTAATGGACTGAAAAGAAGTAAGGGCCAATCGCCTGTAATCGATCATCGAGTTTGCTGTTCGAAATAAAAGGATTTTTTTAAATTATTTTTATCTATTCTATTTGAGCAAGTCCGGGTGTTGGTGAAGGGATAGATCGATGTGAGTCATTGAGAGTAGGTTAATTTCAAACTAATTCTTCTTAAAGCGTGACCTTAAATCGATGCTGGTTTAAAGCAAAAAATGTAATTAATATTCCATCATTATCATTTCACACACACACAGACACACACATATATAATATTTGTATTTTTAATCGGTATCACCCTAAGCAAGGCAGACCAGCCACTAACACGCCAGGGGTTACAGAGTGTGGAAGATTTAGAAAGAGAAAACTTAGTAATGAGTAGAAAGATAAAAGGCCAATCAGAAGGACGATTGGTCTTGACATTGCATTAAAATGTTTGTAGATTAAATTTGCTTGGAATGCATGGGACCGGAAGGGAGTTCCACAAGCAAAAACTGCGAAGAAAGAAACTGTTAGCATTGAAGATATGGCTACATCTAGTTAGCTCAACTGTAAATTGATGAGATCTAGACGCCAGTCTAGTACTGAGCTTAAATTCAAAAAGTCTAGATACCATAGTGAAGAGCTCATTCGTGCAATTACCATGAAAGTATTTATAAAAAAAGTCACATAGAGACAACCTTACGGCGGTAGGCAATATATATATATATATTATAAATTAACTGATTTAAAATGTTTTTTTCGCTACACAGTATTAACCATGTTTCAAAAATGAATGTTTTAATTTAATTACAAAATTAAATTCGAAGCTTTCAGCTTCCATTTTTGAAACATGGTTAATACTGTTAGCGAAAAAAACATATTTTAAATCAGTTAATTTATAATATTAATGCTCTGCAAATTTACATTAAGCACTATTTTGTGAAAGATAAAAATATCAATAAGAACACCAGATTACATATCTTACTCTTCTTTCTTTTTATTTAAATGCATATATATGTATGTATTCTGTTTATACGTTATTTTTATAGATACAAATATTTAAGTAAATGCTCTGTTTATAATAAACAGTACTGACAACATTTACCGGCTTAAATTTCCGAGAAAAAGTTTTCTTCGACAGGAATTGAAACTGTATCCTACACGGAACAGTCATGGTATAGGATGTCAAATCCTTGTATCCTATACGGTTCCGTATAGGATACAAGGATGGGTTTAGAGAGATAGAGAGAGAGAGATGGATGTGAAGTGACAGAGAGATAGACAGACAGAGAGAGAGATGGATGTGAAGTGACAGAGAGAGATAGACACAGAGAGAGAGAGAGATGGATGTGAAGTGACAGAGAGAGATAGACAGAGAGAGAGAGATGGATGTGAAGTGACAGAGAGAGATAGACACAGAGAGGAGAGAGATGGATGACACAGAGACAGAGATGGATGTGAAGAGACAGAGAGATGGATGTGAGTGACAGAGACAGACAGAGAGAGAGAGAGATGGATGTGAAGTGACAGAGAGAGAGAGAGACAGACAGAGAGAGAGAGACAGAGAGAGATGTGAAGTGACAGAAGAGGAGATAGACACAGACAGAGAGAGAGAGATGACACAGAGAGAGACAGAGAGGGATGTGATAGACACACAGAGAGAGAGAGAGATGGATGTGAAGTGACAGAAGAGAGAGAGAGATGGATGTGAAGTTACACACAGAGAGAGAGAGAGAGGATGGATGTGAAGTGACACAGAGAGAGGAGAGATGGATGTGGATGAAGTGACAGAGAGAGAGAGAGAGATGGATGGATGTGACACAGAGACAGAGAGAGAGATGGATGGAGACACAGAGAGAGAGAGAGAGAGAGATGGATGTGAAGTGACACAGAGAGAGAGAGAGAGATGGATGTGAAGTGACACAGAGAGAGAGAGAGAGAGATGGATGTGAAGTGACACAGAGAGATAGACAGAGAGATGGATGTGAAGTGACACAGAGAGAGAGAGAGAGATGGATATGAAGAGACTGAGAAAGAGAGATGGATATGAAATGACCTGCCTGGATATTGAAATCCTTGTTACTATGTCAGCAAATTGACGAACCAAAGCTTTAGCCGATGCTGTAACCTAGAAAAATTTACTGAATGAAGAAGAACCAAACGGAGATTGGAAATGAAATGTTAATCTTTATAACATCAACAAAATACAATACTCGCCAGCGACATGAAATAGGTAAACCACTGCTAATGATGGACTACTTAGCATATTACCCCCACTTACGCATTTATGAGGATTGGCATATGCCCATTAATGTTCTTAGGTACGGTATATAACAGTTCGCTAGGCTATTGTTCCGTGAGTATTAGACGAGGTATCCCTTGATATATTCACCGAACAAGAACACTCCATCGTCGCAATTTAGATAAATATTTCAGTTTAGAATTCGCTAAAAGTTACTCGGATCGAAAAGCATTTGACGAAACTCCGAGAGCACAACAGCCGAACCATTGTGACAACAGTCCATATAGCAATAATATAAACAATATATATAAAACCAGATATTCTTTAATATCTGTCTATGTTTCTGAAACTAGAAAAATCTACCCTGGTGAACGAAATAAAGGGCTCAGTTCGAAATTCCAATCACCTGAAGAAGACCGGAGCGTACATCGACCGAAACGTCGGGAATATGGCGATAAAGATGAGGACAGCAGTCCGAACAATGTAAATAATGAAAACAGATATACTTTGGGAAAGACAATGTTTTGTTTTTTTTTGGGGGGGGGTTAGAATTCTCATAATGTTCAGTTACTACGGCAGCCTTCATCATTGTTTGGCATCGAAGATCGTTTTACGAACTATGCTAAATTTCAAATCCAGCGGTAGTTAATGACTTCAGTGGAATAACCCCCCAGTACTTTTATCGTGACAGTAGAAAGTGCTTTAACAGAAGACGGGAAATGTGGCATTGAAATCCGAAATTATGTAATATCAGTCCACCGTACGGTCGAGTAATATATAGCGGCTCGGATTGAGGAATCGGAGAGCCGAGTTCGAATTCCAGTCGAATCCATTACATTCCTTTTCGTGCTGTTACCCTTGGGAAAGATATGAATTCTTTTTTTTTTTTTTTCTCCCCAGCTATGAGTAACTAGCAGGATGGACCGGGCTCTACAGCCTTGGATGGCAACTGGTTTACCGCAAAGAAAGAAATGGCAACCTACTGCGGGAAAAAATCTGCTTCGTCAGTCATGTCTCGAAGGATGCATGATCGCCTAATGATGGCATAACTGAATATCAGTGAATGCTGGACAATTTCCTCACTAATGAAGAGAATTGACCTAACAGAAATGTGTTTCTACGTAATATCGGTAAGAGGTCGTTTAACCTACTAAGCCGTATAATAAGGACAGACGACTGACAACATATCGTATTCAGAGGACTTACTGAACGCAAGTAGGAGAGAGAAAAGAAGCACACAACCTACCTAATAAATCTATGCAAATGGTTGGCAAAACATGAATTTAAAAGATACTGCAAAAAAAATAAACTCTACTAACGGCTACAAAAGCCAGAAAATTATGGAGAGTCATGATCCCCCATGTCTTGAAGGAACACGGCACATAGAAAAATATATATAGAGAGAGGAAGAGAACAATTGAATTAATTCAGTGATATAAAATACTTATCTCAAAAGCAAAAAATACAGACAACAATATTTTCCGAGGTAGGGGTATCATCTATAGAAAAGAATGTACAAACCCTATTTCTATACAAAATCAGGATAAATCTTATTTTAATGTGAACAGTGGGGGATGCTATATTTTCATAAATAAATTCGGATGTTTTTGTGCGAAAAAGAAAAGGCAATTGTACAGAACTGATATATGACAAATCTTTTTTTTTTTTAAAAAAAGACGTTTTTAGACACTTGAGAAAACCGAATGCTTCCAAAGATTTGGCAGATAGATCTCATGAGACTAACATCGAAAGAGAGGGATATGAAGCGAGAGAGAGTAATTGATGTGAAAAGAGAGAGAGAGAGAGAGATGGAAGAGAGAGAGAGAGTGAGATGGATGTAAAGAGAGAGAGAGATGAATGTGATGAGACACAGTGAGAGACAGATATATATCAATGTGAAATAACAGAGGCACAGAGAAAGAGATGCGTATGAAGAGACTGAGAGAGAGAAAGAGAGATGGTTATGAAGAGACTCAGAGAGAGAGATAGATAGATATGAAGAGACTCAGAGAGAGAGAAATAGACTGAGCATGAGAGAGAGAGAGATGGATATGAAGGGACTCAGAGAGAGAGAGAAATAGACTGAGCATGAGAGAGAGAGATGGATATGAAGATACTCAGAGAGAGAGAGAGAAATACTGAGCATGAGAGAGAGAGAGATGGATATGAAGGGACTCAGAGAGAGAGATAAATAAACTGAGCATGAGAGAGAGATGGATATGAAGGGACTCAGAGAGAGAGATAAATAGACTGAGCATGAGAGAGAGATGGATATGAAGAGACTGAGTGAGAGGGAGATGAATAGATACATAGTAAGATATTATTAGCAAAGGTTTTATTAACTTTTACTTTTATTATCGGGGGCGAAACAATATATTTCTGGAAGATAACGCTTTTTAAGCAAACAGACTTTGTAATTAAAGTGCTCAATATTTATAGATAGAGCATTAATAGCCGCAAATAAAATTAAATGTTTGTCTTATCATTCTCTACTCGAACTTTTGCGGATATAATATGCACTCGCCAGAGTTTTGATTGTAAAATTTAATTCATATTGAAAATAATCTCAATTTTATTATCAAACCAACTAACAATTAGATATCCCCCAAATTCCAAATAGGAAAATAGAAATCGAAAATTTCATTTCATTTTTTTTTTTTTTTTTTTTTTTACCAGACTAAAATATAAACAGACAGATAGATAGATAGATAATGGAGAGAGTGTGAGAAAATAAAAAGGAAATATCACCAGTCCGCAAATGCAGTTTATTACCAGAACATAAGATTGTGTTGCACCAAAGCTCCTAGATTTTGCTGCTCATTAAAAATAAGTTAGCCTTTAGAAGTTCCAACCAAAATATTCTATGTCCTTGTTTTGTTATAATCCTCTTTGAGAGAGTTATTTTTGTTTACTGGGATTATAAAAGGACACTATATGCGAACCTTGTATTCTCGTTGAATAAAGCTTTCTTAAAGCCTACACCTGCGTACCTTTCTCATTACAGTCCTATTAATTTCATTAATATTTACTTATTTTCCAGTTTTCCGCTCGCCTCAGTGTTTGTCCGACTAATTTTGATTCGATTCAATTTTCTTACATGTTTTTTATCTCCTCCAATATTTTCATATCTTAGCATACACGAACAACATTTCTGGCTTTTATATATTGTACCTTAAGTGACAATATCTCCTCCATAATACAAATGTATGTTACATATTTGGATCATTGTATTGGAGTTCCCTTTACTGTCCATGGAATGATTTTTTTACCCAAACAAATTTCAACGAAATGTCTTTTTATTGAAACAATTTTTTTTTTATCATACGAACTTTTATTAAAACGATTTTCTTATGAAAAGACGTTTTATAGAAATTATTTTTTTATCGTTCACCGATATTTGGGAAATAACATTTTATTGAAACGATTTTTTTATAAAACGATTTTTATGGAAAACAATTTATTGAAACGACTTTTATCGAAAAATGTACACTTTTAATAAAGTGATTAAAAAAAAAAAAAAAAAAAAAAATATTCGCCATATTTCTGACTTTATTAATACTTTAACCCCCGGTATGTTTATTCATAAAATTATGAAAAAAATTAAGCCAGTAAAAACAAGACAAAAAAAAAAACTCTTTGAAGAAAGAATATCTTCTTCTTCCGTCCTTGTCAGTCAGTTATGTGCCAGGCACGGTGGAAGAATGGATAGCGGCTTGGATTGAGGAATCTGAGAGCCAGTCGAATCCATTACATTCACTTACGTACTAACACCCTTGGGAAAGGTGTGAATCCTCTTTCTTCTCCCTCCAGCTAAGAGTAAATAGCACGACAGAGTGGGTTCTATAGCCTTGGATGGCAACTAGTCTAGGAGAAGGAAAACTCTGAATTCAAACCTGCTCTTAGAGGAGGGTGAATAGAGTCTCTCTGAGCCTTGGTTGGCAATCCATTTAGTGTTGGTGTCACGATAAAAACACCCTTGATAGCCCTAGCGAAGCATCACGAATTCAGCTATTTGACAAGATTATGAACTACACCAATCAAAGTATTGGTGAGTTCAATCTCGGCTGAGGCCGCAAGATGTGCCATGCGTCATACATGCATGTATCTTTCGATACCCGATTAATCAGGCAGATTTTTCCCCGCAGTAGGTTGCCATTTCTATCTGCAGTAGACCAGTTGTCATCGATGCTATTTTGGGAGGGGGAGAAGAAGATTCATATTTTTCCCAAAGGGATTAGCACGTAAGTGACTGGAATTCGAACTCGGCTCACCGATTCCTTAATCCGAGCCGCTATCCATTACTCCACCGATGTTGGAAATTTAATGCCACTACGCTTTAAATTCAAGTGTTTATTTCTATTTTACTTCATTAATCATTTATGTTTAGTTTTAATTACATTTGTTATCTGCTTCCTTAGTATATTATTGCAACTGACCGAATGCTTTTATTAATTTGGGATGCTGAACTAAAATATTCAAAGATTGACATTTACGTATCAAAAAAAATAATAACCCCTTTCTGCTTGAAAACGGTAATTTCAAAACGAGGTTTGCTTTCAAAAATAGCTTTCTATGAAAAGTCGTTTTACTAACAGACGTGATACCCAAATACTCAGACATATTGTCGTTCGTATCTGACGAAGCCAAAATTTAGATAAAACCAACAAAACAGAAATATTTATCAGCATATTTTGTGAGGTGCATGGAAGCCAAATGAAAACAGAAATTAATACCACGGAAATTTTCAGGACGTATCATGAGGAAAGACGGTTTGAAAAATTTAATACTCACAAGGCGTATTGATTGAAAGCACACGTAAATTACCTAATGACTTAGTGTGAACGTATCGGAGAAGAGGTACAAGACATGATAAAGAGAGTTACACGGAATAGGACGTAGTGGAGAGCTACGATCGCCCTGAAAGTGTTAGATAATAGTTTAGCAGACTATTATTTTTCAGAGAATTGTATTTCTGCGCTGACTTCTTCGTTTTGACCTTTGAGGTCAGATACAGTGAAACAGTGGAAGTCGATTTTGATTGGCTAAGTTATCGTGGTAAAAGATACATAGGGAATGGGATTTCAATGAGTCGAGTCTTAAACCTCGAAGAATATAGACATATTTCTTCGAGTCTGGGAAGCGGCTTCCCAGTGGGGCGAGAGAGCGACCCCCACCCACAGCCGGAAATGTATACTTCGACGTGTTGAATAAAACAGTTAAGTTAAAATTCTTCTGTTGAAATTCTCTTTTATCACCAAACTAAAACCAACTAGAGATCACTATCTGCGAGTAAGATAAAGCAACGTCAATATGAGTGAATCAAGACCATTGCTCCACGACGAAGACCCCCACCAAGGGGATATACAACAAAAGGACACGTCATATATAGTGATTTTCTAAGCCTGGTTTAGATGTGGCACATGGCCAAAAGTATGGGGCACCTAGTGAGGATCGAAGTCACTCGTAATTGATCTAGCAGGACAAGGTCGAGGTGCCCTAGGACACGTCATATATATATATATATATATATATATATATATATATTACTTACATTATTCGGACTATTGTCCTCATCTTTGTCGCCATATTTATCACTGACATCCATCAAACGTGGAACTAGAACAGTCTACCCCGGTGAGCGAAATAAAGGGTTGTTCGAAATTCCAACCACTTGAAGAAGGCCGGAGTGTACAATGGCCGAAACGTTTGTGATAAATATGGCGACAAAGATGAGGACAATAGTCATAATAATGTAAATAATGTATATAATACCTCATCTCATATATATATATATATATATATATATATGAGAAAAATATATAGAAAATAGGAAGGAACTGGTTAGGTAAAAAATCCAAAGTCCCTTAGTATTTTTAGCTATTATTTTTAAAAAATAGTGCTCGATACAAAAGTAGAGCATAAATATAATTATTTATTTAAAATATGATTCCAAATCGCTACATAAGAGGTCTCATGTTTCAAAACAAGAGCCGAAAACTTCAATATAATCCTTTAAATTAAATTGAGTTGAAATTAAAATGGGCTCCGTTCCATCTTCAAACGAAATTTTTGTTGGAATAACGAATATCTGAAATTTACTTGTTTTAAAAATTGAAATCAAAATCCCCATGGTAACAGCTAGGACGAATTGTCTAAATTGGGTAGGCGAATGTAGGGTGTTAATAATAAGTAGCGGTATAGAGATACTTTCAAGGTGTCAAGTCAGGGAAAGTTGGGGTGTCAAAATGAAACGGAAGATGTATTAATCTTCGTTTAGTTTGCTAGTCTATGGATATTTATTTATTTATTTTATTTTATTTATGAAAGGGATTGTGCATATAAAAAAGAAAAACTTTCGTAACGTTTGTTTTTTGACGACTTCATAAAGGGTTATATTTTATGTAAGGTATTTAAACTACTAACTTGGGCTATGGATTATGAAGGGTGTTATGTTGTATGCATGTTTGTAGTTAATTATTCCTACTATGAATCTGATGATAGGGCTCTTTGTTAAACAAGTTATATAATTTTTTTTTTTATCTAATAATTCAAACCAAAAATCTGATGATGCCTACAGAAAACCGTTAACTCGTGTCTATTATTTAATAGATTATTATTATTTAGAAGTTTAATAATGTGTAATTTTTCATGGAGGCACAAAGGGCATGGGTCATCCCAAGCTTTACATATTCTAGCCATGTCAATAATTTTCCATTTAACTTTTGGTGTCTTATTTGTTTCCTTCAGGTGCCAAAAATATTTTGATAGTGAAGTCTGATTTCTTTTGTTTATATTATTAAAGGAGCACTTATGCTGTCTCCATCTATCTTTAAAAATTATTCTTCGTGGACCCAATGTATATCATATTAGTGCTAGGGCTCTCTGTGGATGAAATAGTACATTGGTATACCACAGAATTAATACAACATTTATTTTCTAATGGGCAGTCTTCTGGGTTTCTACAGTTACATAATTTTCCTTTTATCGTCTGATTTAAGTGCAGAGTTTTTATTAATACTGTTTTGGCATGGGGTTTGTTCAAGATCTTATTATTGTGTTTTTTTATTATGCGTTCAAGATTATCAGAGCAGCTGTAGCTTAATTTTAGGGTGTTCTTATTAAATATATTACTAAGCTTACTATTGGTGGGGAAGTGTTTATTAATTAGAGCTAAGAATTTCTGTCCTAGTTTAATACTAACTCTTTGGTTGAACGGAGGGGTGTACCAAATGATATTTCTTTTTCTGTTTTTTTCCCCATGTCCAGTGTAATTTTCTCTGTAGTTAATGTTAGCATTTTTATAACCACTAT